GCATGGGTTTATGATTCACTGATAGGGATGGGGGAAATAATGCAGGAGATCACCATGGTGATGCCTGTTTATGGAGGCAACATGGCAGATGATGAGCAGCATAGCAGACACCAGGCATGGCTCAAGGCTGCAAGAAACCCTTCTTCCTAGACTTTGCAGAGAGGCTTAGCATTCCCACTGGCCCTGGTCTCACTGGGAGATGGAAGGAAAAGTGCCATCTTGGCTGGAGTCAAGGCAGCAAGGCCACCAAGAATGTGCCTTTCTTTCTTTTTTTTCCCTTTTGTTTTCAAGGCATGGGGCTGGGAATTTCTGTTCTGTCATATCCTATTTATTTATGCAAATCTCTCATTCTCACTCTCTCTAATAGATGACAGGACACTGTAGAATATGCTTAGACGCTAGTGGTAGATAGACAAACAGTAGGATGTGCTAAAAACCTTCCCTCCACATTCAGAGAGATGAGGTTTAAATTCTAGGCTTGCCATTTCCTGATGTGTGACCTCATGGAAAGTTCCTGTTTGGGTAAAAAGCTTCTGAGAGGCAGAGTAGGGAAGACTAAACATCAACCTCCTCATGTGAAAAATGGGATAACAGTCCCTACCACAGATGATTGCTATCTGGATTAGAGAAAATGAACTCAGAGTCCTTAGCACAGTAGTTGGTGCATAGTATGGGTTCAGCAAATAGCAGCTCCTAAGAAGGCTGACCCATAGAAATTTTATCTATTGAAGGGAGGTAGTAATACCTACCTGTCAGAGCTGTTGCAAGGACAAAAAAAATGAAAGGATTTGTCTGCTACAACAAATAGTTCCCACATCTGCCTTAGGAGTTATTGCTGCAGCATGTCTGAGTCTGATGTGGGTAAGTGGGAGGCGTGGGAGGAGAGGTCTCCGCTCCATGCCAGCATCTACAGGCTCAGCCTTTTTCCATCTGCTGTCCAGAGCATCTTCCACTGTATCTGCTGAATCAAGCCCAAGATGAGGGATAGGAAGGAATGTGGAAGATTGAACAGGAAGTTTTATGACTCAGGCATGAAGGCAGCATGTATCACTTCTGCTCAAGGATCCAGTGCATGTGCTCCGAGACAGGCAGACAGATCCAGACAGCCACCAAAGCCCCATAGAATCATTCACCACCATCTTTGTTGCTCAGCAGTCTCAGAGGCCAGCTTAGGTCCATGGGAGATGGTCATGCTACTGCCCATGTCCAAACTGCAACCTACAACCAATCCTACCCCGCCTGCAAATGTTATAATAAAACACTTCTGAGGACGTTTTGTTGCATGTACATATTAACTGTATTATACATTCTGTACATGGCCCAATACAATTTCTTTTTGTTTGGTGTGGCCTAGGCAAGCTGAACATTTACACACCCTTGCACTCCTCTTGATGGCCACTGTCAGAGAACCAGTCACAGCCATGTTTTTAAAACATACTTCCCACCCGAGGCCCACAGGCTGGCCTTGCTTCTTCAGCCAGGCTCATCTCTTTTGAGCCCACACAGTCTACTGATGGTTCAGAGCTCATCCAGGGCTGACATGTACTGATTCCCTCAAAGGCCAGAGCTAAAGATTGAAAAATCTTGAAAAAATACAGATTGGGGTAATGGGGAGTAGGGGTGGGACTGGCAGGCTCTCCTGGGTCTCAACTGAAGGAATTCCCATGTTTAGCCTAGAGTGTTTTGAAGCTCAGGCGTTGTGTTCCTCACCATTCTGGGTTCTGCAAACAGGAGAGGTTACACCAAGCATGGAGGCTCAGAGAAGTTGAATGAGTTACTCAGATACACATAGCTGGGGTGTGGGGATGGGACCGAGATTTGAAGCTGGACCTGTCTCCCTTCAAAGCCCATGTGCTCCCAGCTTCTCTATGGCAGTGTATGTTTGAGGAGGCAGACAGGCCAGGCCAGGAACAGAGCTCCTGAGCTCAGCGGACTGGGAGAGCACCTTCTTTCCCTCTGGCCCCCTGCATCACTCCACACACAGATGCCATGGAAATAGTTGTTAGAAAAATGCTGTGAAGCAGAGGCAGTGGGAGGGAGCCCTTCTTGGTGCTGTCGTTCTATGTATCAGCCACAAAATACAGCTGCCTTTTCACCTGTAGGAAGACAACATGCCAACAGGCAGCCTCTTGGAGGAAATTCATGTGGAGGCACAAAGTTTGCAGTGGTCAACTTCTCTTAGTGAGTGGAAATATCAGAGTGGATATAGAGGAGATAGATGCACTTCAACTAATTACAGTCATCATATCTGCCAGGATTATTTGACAAGTGCAGACTAAGTGCTGTGTATACATTATCTCATTTAACTCATAAAGATTGCTGAGGTCAGAGTTCTTGTCCTGATGTTGTCAGTGGAGAATCTGCACCTCAGAAAGGAAGTGAGCTGCTCTGACATCATTTTGTAGGAGTCTGGATGGGTGTTTAATCTCACGACTGCTTGGTTCTGAAGCTCGGCCTCTCACTTTCATCCTGCCATGTCCATAGCACTTTGGACAAACATTTTGTGCTCTTTCCCATAATAAATGTTAATTGAAAATATTGGTGCTGCAGCCACCGGCACAAGCTGCTGTGCCTTGGTAATTAAACTCTTAGTTGCATTGTCATATTTGCAGTTTTCATCCCACTTCCTATGGGAGATGAGACCATTAATCTGTGTGGTGAGGAGCTCACAGACTCCTGTCTGTCTTCTGGTGTCTAACCCTTGCCTCAGCCAACCTTCTTTAACTCCCAGTGTACTTCTTGCTCTCTCTTTACCAATACTATGTGTGGCCTCAGAAGGCTCAGTCCGCCTTCTCCTTCACAGGCTAGCTAGAGAACAACTTGGATTGTGGTCCTAGGTCATGGAAAACTGCATGAGAAAGGGAGGTGGTACCCAGGTGAGGTTACTTGGGGACTCACTTGAGTTTTATTTCAGTAGTCTTCTTTATGTTTCTTTCTTATTACTGGGGATTGTACCTAGGGAATGCTGAGCTATATCCCCAATCCATTTTACTTCTTATTTTGAGACAGGGCATTGCTAAGTTGCCCAGGCTAGCTTCAAACTTTGAATCCTCCTTTCTCACCTCGCCACTCCAGTAGCTGGGATTACAAGCATGTACCACCATGTCAAGCAGTTTCAGTATAATTTTTGATATCAGGAGACTAATCCCTTCTCAAACTTGATTGCTTCTCTTACGAAGAGATAGAATCTGCAAACTATTTCCCTATTCCCTTTATCAAATGAATGACTCCCAAGTCCTTGAGGAGCATACTTGCAGGATGGTAACTTTAGGCCCCAATTAGCAAAACTAAAGAAGTGGCGGGCATGTGGCTGGGGACCTATGACTGGGAATGCCTCTTAGTAAATTGTGTGTCCTATGATGACATCTTGGTCAGTGATAGATTGCATATATGGCTGTGATCCCATAAGGTTATACTTGCTAGTGATGTTGTATATACTGCGTTATGTTTGTGCAAAGGTGAAATCTTTTAATGCCATATTATCTGGAACAGGTCCTGCCATTAAGTAATGAATGTAAATGTCCTGGAAAAAAGCAAATCAAATTTGCAGGTACCTTGTAGAAATCTAAGGGCTAAAACCCTTGGTAAGTTTCTTATAAGGGAGGTAACATATATGGAGATTAGTTGTTTGGCATCCATACTGTGAATTGTAACATATTCTTTATGGTCTCTTTTCATGCATTCGCTAGCCTTAGATGCCTTTAGTGGACACTGAATATTGATACAGTTGTTCACAGATCACTCTTAAGTCCAATTTTCCTTTAACTCTGGTTATCTACCCTCATGGTATCCCCCTCATCCTGACCCCAATTCTACCACCATAAAGCCTTCAGCTTTTCCATGGCAAATTCTTCTCTTTAGGGCCATTTTCAAACTAAACTTCCAAGTGAAGCAGAAATAATCCATGCAGTCGTCTTAATGTATGAGATTAGCAAAGTTATCTCTGCTATGTGCTGGGCATGTACTCTACTCTGTTGTGCTATGGGGTTAAATGAGACATGGTCTTTGCCCTCAGGGAGTTTGAAAACTAGTTGGAAGGTAGGAAAGTTCAGTTTGTCTTTTGGAGAAGATTATCTTGTCTGTTAGTATCTAGCTATATACGAAAATCTGTAATGATTCACTTTGGTTTCAAGTGATGGAAAATTCAATTCAAATTGGTTTAAGCCAAAATATAAGGGCAATAGCATGCAATACCAAAGTACAGAGGTACATGGCTTCAGGCATAAGTGAACTCATAAGGTAGCATGAAGAATCCTGCTTTTCATCTTGTTAAAAACAATCTTTTCTTGGGGGGTGGTAGGAGGGTACTGAAGATTGAAACTGAGGCCTTTACACTGAGCTACATTCCCAGCCTTTTTTATTTTCTAGTTTGTGATAGGGTTTCACTAGGTCACTAAGTTCCTGGGGCTGGCCTCAAACTTGCAGTTCTTCTGCTTTAGTCTCCCACAGTACTAAAACTACAGGTATCTGCCAATTCCTGGAACATTCCTAGAACACTGTCTCTCAGTGGCAACCTGTCTTTTAGTGGAGCCCTGAGCAGTTGAGCAATCCTAGTGGATAGAGTTATGGTTAGTTTAAGCAATCCACTCATTCCTGAAACAATTATTTTGGTCAGAGGGGTTGAAGATGCTTATAAGCTTGCCCTGGATCAGATACCCATTCCTGGAATCTCTAGCATTGGAAAGATGGGTCAGCCCCCATGTATGACATGATCTGAAAACTAGGGGAGGTGGACATGCAGGAAAATGTTTGTTACTTGAAGAAGGACCTACAGAAGCCAGACAGCAGAGAAATATAACAGGACTCTGCTACATACATAATGAATGGCTTATTCCATACAATATCCTTAAGGCTTGTTGGGTATGCTCAAGGGATATCATTAATCATTGTAATTGCCTTCTCCTTGACAAGCAACATCCCTCCAGCCCAACCCAGTCTGGGTTGAATAGACCATAAATGTAACCTGCAAAAATCTTACGTGAACTATCACTCCATTGCAGTGACCTGGACAGAAATAACATCACCAGGATCACCAAGATGGACTTTGCTGGGCTCAAGAACCTCCGAGTCTTGTAAGTAGCAAATGACTCTCTGATACATTCTCATTTTCAGCTCTTCAGCTTTGTGAAAATGTTCCACTGCCCTGACATCACACCCTGACGCACTGGGCAACAGGAATCCACTGTTCTACAGCAGAAGGCCCCTCATTACTGTACCCAAGTGCTCACAGGTATCACCTTCTGTGTCTGGATGCTGCTGGCTGGGTGAGATTGATGGAAGAACTCAGTTCCAGTGACAGGGAAAACAGAAGGCTATAAATGCATAAATCAACATGCCCAGCTTACAGGATGACAGCAATGTGAGGTTGACTAACCATGCTTCTCTTCCATAGAGATTATAATTTCTTCTCCAGCCTGTGCACTAAAAGAGCAATCAGGACGAATGTTATTTATCTTGGTGCTCAATGGAGAGGAGGGGGAAAGGGAGAGAGAGGAGCAGACAGGGTCAGAGACCTTACTGAATACTCACAGCTGTGCAGACAGGTAGCAAAATTTTAGATGGGCATTGATGGAACAAGGAAGCAAAGAATATTTGGTTTCTCTGCTGAAATTTGAACACTTTTACCCATTTTTAAGCCTGTGAGTGGTAAAAAAAAAAAAAAAAAAAAAAAGCTTCCCCAATCCTTGTCCTTTAAAAAGTTGAGACATTCAAAGGTCCAAGGAAGGAGGAAGTAATTCCTCTTTCCTTCTTTTCTTAGTTGATTTTGACCCAAACGTGTGCCCTGGAGAGCAACCTGGGCAATTTGGCCACTTCCTTGGTGTTATTTGTGTCCTGGACCTTTCGCTGGCATGTCTTTCCTACATTTAGCTAAAGTGTTGGTACCTGAAGCCACTTCTTTCTTTTACTAGTAGAATTTTGTATGCAGACCAGGAAGTATCCGATTCTGCTTCATTTAGGGTTAACTGCCCTTGCCACTTCAGACAAACCCCTATACCTCTTCCAGCCTCAGTTTTTTTTGTCAGTATCAGGAACAAATAGACAGATGTCTTTTCATCTCATGTAGCTACACACAGACTGCTTTATGGTTTTAACATTATCATAAACAGTATACGCTTGTTCTCAACAGCACTTGTGAAGTATTACTTTTCTAACATTTGACAAGTGTTATTAATAACCATGATGATGTCAACCAACATATGCAGGATACTTTCCATGGACCAAGCATAGCATTTCGTAATGGTGACATATAAGGTTGTCATTATTATGAGCCCCTCTTTGTGGCAGAGGGGCATAGAGCACAGACAGGATAGGGAGCCTCAGCTGCCCATTGCAGGTGACCAAAGGAGTTGGACTTGGAACCCAGACTGTGTGCTTGCTAATATGCATGTAGCTCTGCTGTGTATTTGCATTCTAGAAAGTTTAGAAAACCAACACGGTAAAGTGTACTCAATTTGAAAAATGCAGCTGGTGCTAGGAATATTGCTCAGTGATAAAAGTTTCTGCTTAGCATGTGCAAGACCCTGGGTCTAATCCCTAGCACTGAAAAGAAGAAATGTACCACTCCTATGCAGGAGTGGTGGGGAGTGCCAGGGTGAGTGCCAGGGTGTGGGGATATGGGTATCTGAGCACTGGGCCTCCAGATACTACCAGACACTCTCCCCAATGAAGTGGTTTCCTCTCTTTGGTCTTGGACATGCTCCTCTCATCATCCTCAGAGAGAAAATCCATCCTGTGCAAGTCATTCCTTGCCCGAGCAGCTCTGCCTCTGTCAGGTGACTGGCAGCTCTGACAAGGTGTATCCTGTGGATCACACCAAGATAAGGGTGGAAAATTCCATGGTTCACTTTAGGATAATTTTCATTGAAGAAGTATAAGGAGTAGATTCCTGCTTCCAGGTCATTTGCCCAGTTTAAAAAACAGATATTTGTTTAGCCGTTCAATTCTTTTTCAATTTCTTCCCCTGCATCTGTGAGAAATTTCCCTTCAGAAGTCACAAATTTCACCTAATAATTCATTTTCTAACCAAGTCAAAAATAACCCTTTGATTTTCTGTTACATCAGAAAGACTAATAAAAATTCCAATTTTCTTATCTGCTTTCTGCAAATAGAAACTTGAAAATAATCACAAAACATCATATTAATATCTTCTGGATGGTCTATAACATTCCTTTGAATACAGTTTATCTTTTCAGTTAATTGGTACATTCTTCTTATTTTGATAAGCAATGCCAAAAAGCCTTTTACCCCTACTTTATAGACTCTATTAATATACTGTGTTTCATTATATTGCTTATCAACTCAAAGACAATCTTATTCAAGTGGCCCTTTGTTATTGAGAAAGAATCTGTGAGCTGGAATAGCTCAAATGCTTTCTAACACCAATAAAATATCCAAACATTTTCACCGTATTTTCTCTCAGTCTATTCTTTTTAGCTGAGCGATCCACATGGCTATTTTTTTTAAAGCTTTCTTCACATCTTGGCACATTTCCTATATATGCTTCTTATTTACAACTTTTAGTGAAACCAGAAAATACTCAATAATCTTGAATAACTTGAGCTTGCCACCCATTTCTCTGAAGAACTGTTAATAGGGTGCAGGTGAATTGCTGATAGCAGATGAAACAGAGATTGGTATGCTTCAGTTCCATTCCGGGGCAATTTTCCGTAAGTGAAGTGTGTTCAAGGAGGAGAACTAAGAGGTGCCCGTGACAGTTATTTCTCCCATGGGGTGGGAGTAGGAAAAGATCTCTTCTGGTGGTATCAATTGTATTCCTTTTCTTAGTAATCTATTTAAGGGCTCCACTATGTTTACAATGTGGGAACCAGCTTTATTCCAAGTGGGGTTAATAAAAGAATTAAACTCCGCCTCCACCATCATCACATGAGGCCCATTTCCGATTCTGATCCAGTGCTAAAACTAAAAAAATAACCAAGCTGAAGAGCTGAAAATGAACACAGTATGTGTCCCTCTAACTCAGAACAGACACCAGCCATTGGCAGCCCTCCTGGGAACCCAGCCCCTCCGAGATCCCCTGTCTTGCATCTGCTCAGTAAAATGAGGGTGGTATCCATAGGTTTTATGCTTGCTCTTGGCTTGTCTCTCAGTTTAGGAGTTGGGATGGGGGTGTGAGGCTTCCTCCATTCACCTCATCTTTGCCTTACCAAATGGTGATTGTTTATTGAGCCTTTAAGTGCCAGGCTGGGCTCTGATAGATCCCAGAAGTAGGTCTTAGGAGTGGGGATGGGGGCTGCATAACTTTCTGACACAAGGGATGACTTGCAAGGTAAATGAGAAGACGTAAATAAAGAATTATTTACAAAGATGTAGGCAGAGTAAGAGAATTCAAGAAGCCATGGTACAGCCCTCAGGCTCCTGACAGCAGGGAGCCACTACTGCTCCTGGGCCCCTCAGAACATTGGGAGGAAGTGGTTACCAATGTCCAGCAGAGCAGGGACTGCCTGACAGCACCTGTGGCCTTAGCACAGGGACATGGTCAACCTGAAGTGACTTGGCCAGGAGAGAAGAGAATAAATCCCCCACTCTCACAGCCCTCTTATGGTCTTCCCGCTGCTCGTGATTCCCATTCCTTGATTCCAGCAGGAAACCAGAAGTCACGATGCTTCCTGAGGAAACCAATGAAAGTCAGCCTTCCCAGGCTCCAGCAAGGTAGAAAATGGGCAGGAATCACACAGGCATATTTCATTTCTTATCCCTTTTGTGAGAGAAGCTAAAAATGTGAGTTTCATGAGTATAGAACAAAGAAGATGTGTATCACAGGAAGTCGGAGTTAGGCTTTTTCAGAAACCAAGAGACACTGTAACCCTCAGTCCCTCTAAAGTTAGTCCTTTCTCTAGTTCAGAAATAATGACAGCAAGCTTTGTGATTGATTGATCGATTGGGTGATTGTAAAAGCCTACTGAATGAATTCCCCAGTCACTAAGCACTGAGCTGGCTTCCTGTTTTGCAAGATGTGCTGGTGGGAATCTGCTAGCCTTCCAAGGCCTCCTTGCCATATGGCAGGATGGAAAAGAAGAGAGAGAAGGGAATGAACATGTATTAAGCTTTTAATTGCACTTCAGATTGTATGCTTGATTAATTTTTCATTCCATTTGTATTTTTGTAACATATTGTGGTGATGTTTCATTCCCTCTACAGAGAGGAAACTGAGTCTCAAGAGGTTGACTACCTAGCCCGATGTAATATCAGCTAGTGATAAGTAGGACTGGGATTCTAAACAACATCTGAAAACTGTACCAGTCTGGGCCAGAGGGCGCACACACCCTAGCTAGCTGTGTGCCTGTCTATGTGTCATATCTCCTTGGCACGTCTCTTGATAGCTCTACTCAGTCACTTCCATATCTATTAAGTGAGGAGCCTGTGAGGGTCCTCAGATATGAGGGCCAGAAATGACATAAATAAAACTTCAGGGTGGATGAGTACTGCAGCAAACTGACTGACCTCCCTGACTGATAATCAGTTCTGACTAGTTGATATTTAGAAACACAAAGGTGAAAAGTCATTGAGCCGAATAAAATGCCCTCACTTACTTTGATAGTCAGAAATTGAAGATTCTTACACTAGCCTTTTCCCTGATACAAAATCAATATATATAGGGGCCCAGAGTTGTCTTTAGTTTTTCATTCATTGGATAAGGAGATGTGAAGCAAGAGTATGATGATAAAGGAAGGTCTGCCTTCCTGTTTCTTAGGTGTATTTGGGAAGTAGACTGAAAAAATGAGACACAGAGGCCGGAGGGGTAAGAATACAGGAGGGTACAATACATGTGGGGGTAGCCGTCATGGAAGGTCCATTCTGAAGTGAAGATGGACCCTTCCCGAGGTCGTTCTTCCTCTGCCTCTACCTAGTCCAGAGGAACCCATGGCTCTTCTTTGAGTCTCCCTTCCATAGAAGCATCCTTCAGTCACAACTGTATTCTCCCCAATTCCATTCAGCCGCCAAATACACTTTGATTCATTTCCTGGCCCAGGTTTAGCCCCACCCACATGGAAGCCATGCAGCCCCGCTCTCACCCTTTTTTTACTGCTGAGCTAATCCATTTTAAGTTGCCATTTTTTAAGTTAGGGGGACAAACGGTTCATTGTACACTCAATTATTAAGGATACGCCATACGCATGAATCAAACTCTCGTGGGCAGTGTCTAGGATACTTTAATCACCTTCTGGGAGGACCTAAGGGATGACCAAAGCTTGTGGCTGGGGACAGGGAGAACGAACATTTGTGACCATCATTATGAGGTTGAGATTAGCAGGCTTGAGGGCAGGTCCCAGGAGCAGGCTGCTTTTCTTAGCCACAGCCAGCTTTCTCACAATACAGTAGCTTCACCCTTGCTACTAGGGTGAGCAGGGAAGGCCCTTTTCAATGAAGTATTTTTGAATCCTTGGAGGAGGGAGTTCCAAGGGAAGAGATGATGAATATATGTGTGGTTTTTCTAAGAAGCAGCTTTTACCTCTTCCTTTTCTGTGCAACATCGTGCAGTGCTTGGGGGGGCATTCGCTGAGAACATTCTTAAAATAGAGGCATGGAAACCAATCTGTCAGGTAGAAGTGTGCAGGCGGTGAAACCCTGGTTACCGTGACACCAAGCTGGAGTGTGAGTTTTCTTGTCCCACCGCACTGATTCCAGTTGGAGGGGCACAGGGGGTAATGCAAGGGGCTAAGTGACCATGGCTGCATGGCCAGGGCCCTGTATGAGAATTCCTAGGCAAGCTTGTCCTTGACCCTTGCTGTTTCTTTGGTTCTAGGCATCTGGAAGACAATCAGGTCAGCATCATTGAGAGAGGCGCCTTCCAGGATCTGAAGCAGCTGGAGCGTTTGTAAGTAAAGCACAACCCCTGTCTTAAATAGTGTTTTTTGTCTGTTTGTATTTGTGTTGTAAATGGGTCTTGTGGCCTTGTTAAAAACAACTTTTTAATGTTTAATGAAATGTTTGCTGTTGCATTGAAAGCCCACCAAATGCATGTTACAGAGACACTGAAATCCACTTAAACTCCTTTTCTGGAAAAGATACTGGGGTCTGCATCTGGGATTTGTTTTTCCTCTTCCCCAGTTTGCGTTTGCTCTGGATTTCTGTATGTGGGGCTGGTTTTCAGGCAAGCCTCATGCTTCCCTTCTAGGAGTGGGGAAGCCTGCACTTACCTTGTCACGGAAGCCAGAATCATGCACTCCCTACTCCTCCGCAAGGAGCTCAAGCTCCTCCCCAAGTCCGCCCCCCCCAGACTCCTCAGCTGCACTCTTCTGGGAGAGGAGGGCTGGGCAAGTGGGTGGAGCCCTCGGTGAGCCTGTTCTTCCTTGGAGTGAGCATCAGCCTCTGCTAGGAAGCCCACATGTTTCCATGAGAGAACACATTGCCAGTAGTTTAAAAATAGGCCACTGTTCTGACTCCATGAGAGAGAGGGAGCAAAAGAGGTAGGACAGGAGATGGATGGGGCCTCCATTTATTTTGCTGATGAATGCTTTTGCAGAAAACTCTAGGGTCACTTGGATGAGGAGGGCTGCTCAGATGGTTAAGGGGGCAGCTTCACTTTCCCTCGGTTAATCACATCTGGCAGCTCATAACATCTGGATATTTGCTTTCTGCCCTCCGAGCAGGGATTGTCCCCAAGAGCACTTAGTCATGCCGGTGGGCGGCTCTCATCAATGCTTCCCTCTGCATCCTAGTTGCCCTGACATTTCAGCCTCCTTCGCCTGCTCGGTGAGGGGACATGGTTGTAACAGTTCAGAGTTCTGCCGGCTTGCTTAGAAGACTTCTGCTCTGGTCACCTGTCCTGTTACCAAATCTTATTTACAGAGATAGTGTGGGTAAAGTGGAGTGCCTGCCACCAATTTATCAGGTTTGTGTTGTGCTATCTTTTTTCCATGAAGTACTTCCATCTGAGGCCACTTGGGAATGGGGAAGGTCTCATCTCATGAATGTTACTGTCACCTAGCAAAATGTTTGTGTCCTTCTTCTTGTGTGGATGGTCTTTTTTATTGTTCTCCTTCAGGATTAAATCCCAGCATATGTTCTGCTGTCATTGGTTTGAACATATGACATTTATTTCTTGTGAGGGGAAAAATTTAAAAACTAGTGAATGTCACCTTTGTTTACATTTTGATTTGAAAGTTGTGTGAAACTTGAATCCTCCTATCTTAAGTCAAAGAAAATAAAAGAACCTGGTTCCCCTGTATGAAATAATCAACATTTACATGAAAAGATAAACACACAGTCCTTTGTACAAAGGTGCTTCCTTACATAGTCTTAAAAGAGTAAATAAATTTCTGATTCATTAATTTTGTGGTTGTTGGGAAGGAAGTAACTGAGTCCTTTGGGCCCAGGAACATGCGAGTTTTTACATGCTATCTTTTCTTTTAGTCCCACAAAATTCCTCTGAGCTGTTATTACCCTACTTTTATAGATGAAGAAACAAAGATCCAGCAATATCAAGCCAAAGAATTGTCAAGCGTGGGGAGCAGGAGTCAAAGCCACATCTGCCTGACATCAAAGCCCATGTCCTTTCATATTCCTGTGTTGCAGGCATTAGATGAAGTGTGATCTTTAGCAATGGCCCTGCAAATAACCTCTCACATACCCATTTCACTCCAGGGAGTATCAGTGAATTATTCTGGCAAAAGGCTCTTTTCTTTGGCCTGGTGAACAAGGCTGAAATACCATGCATGTCTGGGGAGCTGAAGGAATTACAATTGCAGAATAAACCTGGCCATTTCTCTGCTGTGGTATATTAGCTGGGTAATGCTAGCTGCTATACTAGATAAGCCCTCAAATCTCAGTGACTTAACACAGTGGAAGGTTGGTTCTTTTTCATATAAAACCCAGTATGAGTGACACTGACAAGGCCTCTCTCCTCCAATTGGAGAGTCAGGCACACAGGTTCCTTTACCACTTGACTTGACCACCTTTAAATCTTGGCATCCAATGTACCAGGCTTTGTCTGCATCAAGCCAGTGGGAGGGAAAATGGCATGAAGCGTTGCATAGGGGAGGTTTCCGTGGCTGAGACCTGGAAGAAGTGCATGTCTCTTCCACTCTGACATAGTTGGGTCAGAGTTGTGTGGCTAGAGTACACTGCGAGGGAGACTGGGACAGGCAGCTGAGCTCTGTGCCCAGGAAGTAGAGGAAACTGGCTTAGTGACTGGTTGGCCAGGCTCTGACTTCTACTGCAAGTGAGCTGAAGAAATAGTTGAGCAGGAAGAAGACTGGAGTTGTAGGCTGCTGGACTCACATGCACAGCTGGGTGAATACACTGTCCGTCGGTGCTAGCAAGCAGGGGTGTGTGTATGTAACTGGTGTTATGAATCCTGACTGGCGTTAATCTGGCTTCTGTTATACAATCTGTCCTCAGTCAAACTGAGTGACCTAAAATGAGAAAATATAATATACTTGATGTTGAGAACTGAAAAAGTGCATGGCACATTACGCCATCTCTAGCTCTTACTCCTGCTTCACCTTACCTGTGTTTCTGTGCCTGAAGGTAGAGCATTTTCTATCCATCATATTCTGGAATACAGCCTGAAAATATATAAGCATTGATGATTCATTTTTGGAGAATTTGTTTCCATTTTGAATGTTGGTGATCAGTTTGTTCTGTTGAGGCTTACTAAGAAAGAGGAGTGAAGTCTGTCCTGTAGGTTTCTAGTCACAATTTCTTATTCCCATGAAAGGATACCTGTTCCAGACTGAATTAAGATACCTTTGTATTAGACATTTTTTGTTGCTCTAGGAGAATACCCAAGGCTGGGTACTTTATAAAGAAAAGATACTTATTTCATTCATACTTTAGAGGTTGACAGTCTAAGAATGGACAGCATCATCAATTCAAACTTTGGTGAGAGTCCCTTGGCCATGTCACATCATGGTACATGGCATTATAGTGCAGGCACATGTGAGAGGGAGAAGTCACATAGGGAGACAGGAATCAGAGAGTGGGAAGGGCCACCTCAGAACAGCTAGCTTACTCTACAGGCCGCCTTCTGTCCCTTATAAGGGTAATACACCATGACCTAATCACCCGCCACTAGGTTCCATCTCGAAAGATGCTACGTGAAGGACTAGGCCTTCAACACATGAACCTTTGCAGGACACCGTCAAAGAACTGCCAGACCACAGCACCTTCTCCTCATGATAATACATCATTATTCCTATCACAAAACTTACAACACTGTATGTTAATTTCCTGTTTTCCAGATTGTTTGTCTGCAAAACTAGGAGTATGTTAAGATCTGGAAATCATATCCAGTTAGCTCTTAATGTCAAATCTTTGAACAAAGTAGGGTAGTAAGTGGTTGGGGAATATTTAAAACAATACTTGAGGTTTTGTTCCATATCATAGATTCTGAGTTAAGATGAATTTTGCTTCCTAGATGACACTTGGCAATGTGTAGAGACGTGTTTGATTTTCACAAGTGGGGGATGCCACCTAGTGAGTAGAGGCTGAAGATATTTCTAAATATCCTAAAATGCATAGGAGAGCTGCTCAAAAAAGTCAGACCAAATAACACTAGTACTAAAATTGAGAAACTATTTATCTGTTATGTGTCAGATAGAGTATATGTATACTATATGTATACTACCTCATTTACTCCACACGTGAATATTATGAGGCTCAAATACTCACATGCCTGGTGTAACAAAATATAAAATTCAAAGCACTATCTATGAAATATTGTCACTAAATATGTTCACCCTAAGTCTACTTTAGCTAGAACTCATTTCTAGCTTCTAGAATGTGAGATAGGAGATGAGGTGAGATAGAAGATGAAGCAAAGAGGAGACAAACAAATGAAGTAGGTGAACCGTGCTATAAGATAACTGCTCTGGTTTCTTAAAAAGGTCAGCCTCATGAAAAGGATGCCAAATGATTGTTCTAGATTAGAGGAAGCTTAGGTAGAAACAGCAGCACAAAAGTGAAACGAGTCACTGAAACTAACGTGTTCAAAGATCCTTGAATTATCTAGAAAGTGATAAGACTAACATTTATTATCTTATTAAACGGAGAAGGTATGCTATAATCTACAGAATAGCTTTTAAAAACAATAGTAAAAATTATAATAACTCAATAGAGGGAGAAGGGACATGAATGATACACCAGTCTATGGAATAAAAGGAAATAAAAGGAATATAGAAGAAATGGGGCAAATAAAAAACAAATAGTAAGACAACACATGCAAATATAAATATATCATAATTAGTTAATCCATATAAATGGACTGATGCCGCCATTAAAAGACATAGGCTGTCAGAGTGGAATAAAAAGAACAACAATTATGTGCTTCTTAAAAAGACAAATATTAAATATAGAGGGAAAAAAGTTGAAAAATAAAAGGATAGAAAATACCTTAATAACTGACCAAAAGATAATTGTTGTAGGTGGGCAAGGTGACATACCCCTGTAATCCCAGCACTCGGGAGGCTGAGGCAGGAGCATCACTGCGAGTTTGAGGCCAGTCTGAGCTACAAAGTAAGTTCAAGACCAGTCTGACCTGCATAGTGAGACCCTGTCTCAAAAAGACCAAAAAAAAAAAAAAAAAAGACAATTACTATAGCTCTGTTGACACTGAATAAAATGATCCTTTAAAAAGAAACATTATTGGATATAAAGGGTAATATTTCATAATGATAAAGTAATACACTAAGAAGAAACAGCAAATTTAAGTTTGTATATGTCTAAAAATATAGCCTAAAAATATATAAAGCCAATATTGACACAACTAAAAGGGTAGATTGATGAGTTTGTGATCATAATTATAATACTTTCTTAATAATTGATGCATCCCACATACACAATGTTAATAATATGTAGAATATTTTATCAGTAATA